TTTTACTGTTATTCTAGCGTTAATTTATGCGACGTGAGACGAGATTTAATAATTCGTTTCTCTTTTCAGGCGGCGCTGTCACCCCCAAAAATGTCAGGGCTTCGTATCGATTGTTTCAAACAAACTCCTACGAAACATTAAGACACCTACACAAGAAACAAAGCAGAATATTCGGTAAATGTTTCCAGCCGAACTTAGGGATCGAGCTTCAATCTTATACTTTCCACCATTTTATGCCTCTGATTGTGTCTCATTTATAGATCGGTAGATTAAAAAAAAAAAAAAAAACGTGATAATTTCTACTAGAGTTCGCGGTTCTGTTAATTACTGTTTGTGGAATATTCTATGATATTCTATCGCGTCCGACGTGCAACGTTCCGATTCAATGAATATTGAAATCAATGGACAGGAGGTTGAGTCAGTCACAGGAGGAGTCTACAAACACTTGTTAAAATGTATTCTGCTCCAATGAATATCATTTTCTTTCAAGAATAACGCCGTTGTCATTTCATAGTGTGATATATTTAGAAAAACAAAAGGAGATTAAAAATTTCACCGATGAGAAAAGGGATAAATTAGAAAAGTATCATATTTTAGTACAATAATCTGTCCTTTAAATAATTAATTCAAACTGAAAGTAAATGAATTCTTTAGGGGGCGTCTGTGCACTGTACTGACACTTCTGTGAAATTATCTCAGTAATACTAAATTACCAGGTTGTGTAATAAGTTCATTCGTATATTTGATCAATATTAACGACCATTGTATAAACTCTACGATGCACATTATATTTTTCACTTTATTTTCTGTTACAAATACACTCGTTACAACTCGTTACAAGCATATTTCGAATCTTTACATTTATCACACAGAAACAAACTCCTTTGTTCTTATTACGTATTTATAAATATTACTTTCCCTCTTAAATGATTCGATTGTAAATCACATTTATTCATTATCAATTGCTCGTGTGCTGAGTAACTGTGCATAATATTTTTGAAACTGTATCCATTCAGAGACAAACGAATGAAAAAACAATTTGCAATAAATTTCACACTTGTTACACGTGGCTTGTTACAACATTTCTCAAAAATGTCCGATTATTACACAACCTGATATAAACGAAATCAACGATGTGACAATTTATTACCACCAAACTGTTATTAAACCTATCGAATCGTTATTATTGTTCGTGCAATTCAAGCCGAAAATCATGAAAATTATCAACATCAATTATAATATCGAGAGAGAGAGAGAGAGGAAAAAAAAGAAATCAATAGAAACAATACACTGTAGCCGTGATAAATTTCATTTTCGAATGAACGCGCGTTCAATTTTTCTCTATATACGATATTCGACACGAAGGTAAATGCAACCACGAGATGAATGAACGAAATGTTTCCCTTTCAGGACAAAATGTCAATGACGGGAAGCTTGATGGGTTACGAGAACAATAACGAGGTAAATCAAGCAAAGTGTAAGAAGCCATTGAAACCGCTTCCGATAGTGTCCAGCATAAATTCCAGCGGTATCACGACCACCAACAAAACAAAAAAGCCGCGAAGGTCTACCAGACGAAACTCTTGTATACGGGGTCACGTGAATAGTTTGTGGTCCGTCTGGTACGGCGTTTTGGCGGTCGCTTTTCAAGCTTACATCGGCTTGAGATACGCGAAAAGGTTCGCCGGTAAGTGAATTTGTCGTACCTTCTTTCTCTCGTTAAATTAAAAGAGGGAACTTGGGCCGAAATCCGTGGAAATTCAACGGGAAGGAATCGTTGTGTGTGCGTGCGCGCATGAGTGTGTTTGAACGAGCACAGTGGCTGGCGAAAATATCTAAACGCTCGTGGGAAATTTTATGATTACGAATAATTAATTTCCTTCCCCTCTTGGTAAATTTTTCCTTCTGTGAATACGCGTGCGTGCAAATTGATATTTTCACAAGGCAGCGAACGTTTGTAGAAACTTTTTAGGAATATGAGTAATTAATTTTCTTTTCTCTTGGCGAATCTTTTCATGGATAGTACGCGCGCACGTGTAAATTAATATTTTACGCAAGAGAATTGTACGACAAACGTTTGCAGAAACTTTTTAGGAATACGACTGATTAATTTTCTTTTTTTTTTTTTTTTTAGTGCATTTTTTTGTGAGTGCGTGTGAAATATTAATTTCTTCGTACAATAAAGGAGTTGAAGAAATTTTTGGCATGAATACGTCGTTAATTCTTCTTTTTTCTTTCTCGTTCATTCTCGTCGATTAATCTTGCGCGTTAATTTATTTCTCACCGACTGATTAATCGAGTTAATAAATCGTCGACAAATTAACAAATAATCATTCTTTGATTAATCTTCTAAAATAGGAAAATTCTTCTGTCCATTTTAAATTCTTAGGTTTTTATGAAACGCGGTAACGACTTCAAATTTTCGGTACATTGTCGGTTTCGTTTGAAACTTTAGTAATGTAATCACCATGGTCTCGTTACAAAATTAATGAAATTTCAAGGTTTCATGTAATGCACGTAATATATTCACAAAAGTTTCTCATCGTAAACGTTTAAATACAACGTAACTTTATGACACGCGCTATCTGGATAATCAAATAATTTTGTTTTCGAATGGACGAAAAACATTCTCGAAAGTAAAGTAAATCTTCTGAATATCAGACGTTCCAATCGAAATTCTCTCGACTTTTCTCTTAATATTTTCAAAATTTTCTGTTAACCCTTCCAGTCCCAATTTTCGATTTTTGATTAATTGACTGAATTTTATAGTGAAAACGCGCGTGACAGATTTAGACTTTTCATGATTCTAGTTTTAGAAAATTCTGAAATAAGTTAAATTATATTAACCACATACTGTTCATGGGAATTATTTAGTTTATTCAGAATACCAACATTTCGACGGAATGTAGTTCGATGTATTATTATTTTATTACTTTATATCATCGTTCTAAAACTTTGCCTGCACTCTATCGAACTGAATGAAATCTAACATCGTAATAAAGATGTTTCACGCTTTCTCGAAATTCTTGAAAAGGAAAATTTAAACTCGTCCATTTCAAGACATAGAATTACAATTCAACTCTAATTCTATTGAACTTTACATCAATTACAATTCAGTTTTAACTTAATTATCCCGGTCAATTATAATTCAAATAAAATTATTAACATTGTATAAAAAATCGTCGCAGGTTTAAAAAAGTCATTACAATCGACGAAAAAATAATTGAAACCTCCAATTTCAAGAATTCAGATTCAAATAAGCGAACTCTATCAGCAAAAGTTCATTTAATCAAACATCGGTTCAAATAAATTTCATTCGAAATCCCAACATCCTCTAAACCTTTCGAAATATTATAACTGAACCTATTGGGACTGAAAGGATCGACGTACCGTGTCTTGGCGTTAAAGAGTACACGGAGTATAAAATTCAAATATATCTGATGAAATTTTCAAATCTGATGGTTGCTCCTTGAACGAAAAATCTCTATCCTTTTATTCTTTGATCAATGTAAGTATTCACTCGTTTCTTGAATACTGAAACATTCTAATAACCTGTGTTATACTTTCCACCAGCCACTGCCTCGATGCAACAATGCAACCGAATGTGCAACAAAACAGAAATAAAGACAAACACGGAAATAAAGTGTAACAGTGAAAAACGAAATGTTACAGCGTATTTATCGTTACCTTGGCCGGCGGACGCTCCACCACCAAAGGTGGAGTTGTACGCGTGTCTGGTGCTGGCCGGGGCTGGGGTCGTTCTGCTGCCGGTTCTGCTTGGCGCGGCCTTCCTGAAGCTCGGCAACCTGGCGAACGATGGGATAAAACTCGGTCGTCATTTGAGCGCGTGTTCGCGCGACCCGCCTTCCTCCTTGCTCACCAACAATCCTGATCACAGTCAGTATATGTGCCATTTACTAAACGCAAGAAAGAAGGGAAACCAGAGCATTTGTTACCTGATCCTCCGCAGGTTTGGCGAATAATTTATGGCGACACGGAGGACCCACCGCTGCTTTCGTACACCTTTGCACGGCAATGTGCTTCTTGCTGCCCTCGTTGCTCATGGAGGCTAGACTGATACACGCTGGATTCTTGCCAAAAGGTAACGACCAACACCCTATCTACCCGTGCTCTCTGCTCTAGAATCACAGAGACCTGTGTTATTAATGGTTCTCAGTTTTCATTGCAAAGACGTGATTAATTTTTCCTTTTTCTTTGCGAATAGTTGTACATAGTCTCCCCTTTCTATTCATTCTCGCTTCGGTTTTTTTATTTGTGTTCAAGCACGAGTTTAGCGAATGAAATTTCCATTTTTCAAGTGACACGGTACACAATTAAACGTGTTATAATCGACCGTAATGTCTTTTTGGCGAGACGAATTTTCCCCTCCGAATTAATTTAAATGTTAAATGGCAATTTAAAGATATCACTACGAAATCTTGAAATTTTAACTTTCCAATGGAAAACTGGCAGAGAAGAAGGCGCTCGGACAAATCTTCGATCACGGAGAGAATTAAGGATATAAAATAGAAAATAGAATCTATCTTTGCGAGTAAACCTCTTCGATCGCTTCGAGAATTGAGACCGTAAAATAGGAAATGGAAAATAGGGAAATTGGAAGCTATCTTACGCTCGAGTACACATTTGTAAAATATATATATATATATATATATATATATATATATATATATATATATA